CAGGACCGTTTTTTTTAGGGCCCACCGAATAGTTCCCTGCCTGTAGTGCGTTACCATGTTCGTAGCGCCCTACCCTGCCAGTCGCGCTGCCCCACCAGTCGCGCTGCCCTGCCCGTCGCGCCGCCCTGCTTGCCGCGCGTCTGCCTGCCCTGCCCGTCGAGCGCCCTAGGACCCGCGCGACGCCCTGCCCTGCCCGTCGCGTCGCCCTAGGACCCGCACGACGCCCTGCCCTGCCCGTCGCGTCGCCCTAGGACCCGCGCGACGCCCTGCCCTGCCCGTCGCGTCACCCTAGGACCCGCGCGACGCCCTGCCCTGCCCGTCGCGTCGCCCTAGGACCCACGCGACGCCCTGCCGTGCCCGTCGCGTCGCCCTAGGACCCGCGCGACGCCCTGCCCTGCCCGTCGCGTCGCCCTAGGACCCGCGCGACGCCCTGCCCTGCCCGTTGCGTCGCCCTAGGGCCCGCGCGCCGCCACTGCCTGCCCGCGCGCCGCCTTCTGCAGCCCGCGCGCCGCCCTGCTGTTCGCTATGAGTTGCGTGGTAGCGGTGGGAGTGGTGGCGGCGGTGGTGGCAGCAGTGGGAGTGGTGGCGGCGGCCGTAGTGGCAGTCTCCGTGGAGCTGTTCGGTGGGGAGTTTCTGGCGGTGGCCAGATGCAGCTCCAGCGGCGTCCGCGCGAGACCCTCACGCCCCAGCAGCTTCGTGAGTGGTACTCTAGTTGGATTGGTGGCGGCGGCCGTAGTGGCAGTCGCCGTGGAGCTGTTCAGCGGGGAGTTTCTGGCGGTGGCCAGATGCAGCTGCAGCGGCGTCCGCGCGAGACCCTTACGCCCCAGCAGCTTCGTGAGTGGTACGCTCAGCGAGGGGCGTCTCGGAGTAATGCTCGCTGCCCGTACGTCATTCGCACAGGTGATCGGGCTGGTCAGACTTGCGGGACAGTTGGTCACACACAGTCCCGCTGCTTCTCCTGTCTGAGCGACGCCTGGCGCGCAGAGTTTGGCGACGCGACTGAGCTCCCCCGCTGGCTAGAGCTGCTTAAGCAGGGTGTTGATATCTTTGCTCTTGACTATGATGCTATCCTTGCTGCCATGTATGCATTGACTGTTAGTGCTGAGGGTGACCGAGGCTAAAACAGTAGCCATATGAAGACCTCCGAACCTTGTTGTCGCCCGCCCAGGACGCGTTAGTGTTCCCGGTGAGGCTAGCTGGCTGTCTCCTTCCAAGCACAAGCCCCATGCCTGATGTGCTAGCCAGACAACACACAACTCTCTTTGCAGCTGACCACTGGGCGGGTCGATGCTCCCCATTCGCCACAAAGCGAGCAAAGATGTTGAGAGGGTATGCAATATCTGGATGAGAGCACGTCATAAGTTAAATGAGGCACTGGGCTCAACAGGCTCGTCGCGAACAAGAGCCATGGGTCGATGCTCGACTGCAAGAGGTGTGGAGTGTGGAGAATAGAATTTAAAGCGGAACCGCTTGAGGATCTGCTGCACAATGTGTGACTGAGTCTGTGTAAGCCAAGATAGAGACGAAACTCACCCAAGTCAGTGTAGGTGTGTCTCCTTCGTAGCTCGGTCGTCACAGAGGCCAGTGCATGTCAGATAATGGAATAGTAACTAGTGTAAGATGCGCCTGCTGAGGCCTTGCACACCTTCACACTTGACTCAGGTGATTCCCGTTGTTTCTTTCGCGACAGTACCACACTCACACCACTCCCTGCACCTGTTGCAGTCAGCCTGGCTGACCCCTCAGGGGGACCAGTTCTTGCACGTTCCACCACTGTTCTCCCGTGTCCGACGGTTCCGTCTGGCTCACTGTCAGGTCTCCACCTCCCCACGTTCTTGACGAACCTGGTGAGCAACGCCGCTCTTCAGGATGTATGGGTTGACACCTTTACTCCGGGAGGGCAGCGTGTGGCGATCTGCACGTGCTCCCAGATGGCCACGTTCACCCGTCGATCTGGGTCGAGTCTGTACACACTGACTACTGAGCCTCCTCAGGTAGCTGCGTCTGCGTCCGCGTCAGGTCAGCTAGCAGCCCCCTGCTCGTGTCGCGCCCTGTCGCACCAGACGCTCCTTTGGCACCACCGCCTTGGTCACCCCTCCGTGCAGCGCCTCCGTGGCATGCACTCCCGTCTCCTTGTCTCTGGTCTTCCCAGGTCTCTGCCTCCCCTCCCACCCTCGCCTTCCCCTCCCTGCCTTCCCTGTGTCGAGGGGCGGCAGCGCGCTGCTCCTCACTCCTCCTCGTTTCCCCCGACGACTGCTCCCTTGCAGACGCTCCACATGGACGTGTGGGGCCCAGCCCGCGTCCGTGGACAGGGCCGCGAGCGATACTTTCTGCTGGTTGTCGACGACTACACGCGTTACACCACGGTCTTCCCCTTGCGCAGCAAGACCAAACGTGACCAGAACCACGTTTGGTCTTGCCGTGTAGCGCGGGCTCTTGGCATCATGGGACCCCAAGTCCCTTACCTTCTCTTTTCATGTAGGCCTCCATGACATGCGGATGCCCCTTCGTTTCAGGTTCTTGCATGCATTAAGAGCCATGCTCCCCCCGCCCCCCCCCCCCCCCCTCCTTTTAAGGTAGTCCACAAACTTAGCCTGTTAGGCCTTTCCACTTTTTTCATAAGAGCATACAAGCATTGTTTCCAATAACATGCTCAAATAGGACTCCTAGTCCTCTGCCCCTTGCCTTGGATTTTGGCCGGCGGCCTTCATAGCATCCCCCATGGGATAGGCCAGCGGCCTTTGCACTCCTTAGTGCCACCAAAATGACCTCGTTCACGCCCCTCGCCACCGAGTGATCACCCTCTCGGGAATTCACACCACCGGTGCGGGCCCTTGGGCTCCTCCCCCATTGTCGGGGCAAGCATTGGCCATGTGGCCCGGCTGCCCACAGCGGAAACATGAGCCATGAAAGCTACTGAAATTGCCTTGGGCGCGCTCCATGGCCGCCACGTCCGCGACGGCCTGCTTGAACGGGCGTGAAGTGAAGACCCTCTTATCTTCGTAGAGATTGAACCTGTTTGCGGTGCGGAAATTGGTGTAGTCGGCGACGTGGAGTAACTTGAAGCGGTTGTTGATGAGCGTGAAAGCTTCGCCAAGGTATTCGAGGGCGCTTGCCGGCTCGTTGTGCCGCACCTTGTGCTCTGCGTGCTTCAGGTATGCCCGCAGGTGTAATAGGTCCCCGGCTTGCTCGCGCACGGCGGCATTCTTGAACTAGGCGGCGGAGAGAGTGGGATTGGGAGAAGGGAGTGGAGGGAGTTGCTCAACGGGTGCAAAAGCGGCATTTACAGCATGAGCCTCACCATCGTCGTCGTCTTCATTGTCGCTGTCGGTGGGGTTGTTCATGACTGGGGCAGCAGCGGCGCATGTGTCTTCGCCCCTTCCCGGTTTTGTTGTGCGAGCTCTCTTCACGGACTCCGTTTTCGCCTTTTCGCTTTTAGCAGAAACAAAGGTTGCGTTTGGCGTAGAGATTTCTTCAGTAACAGCACGGGCCTGCTGCTGTAACAGGGTCAGCAGCTGCTGCACTGGGGCTGCAGTGAATGTTGGCGCCACTTGTGCGCCCGTCGCCACTTGCGCGTGAGGCCCCACAGGCTCGTCAGGACCCACACGCCTGCGTCGCTGGCGCTGACGCGGGGTGCCAGCCGCGCTAATTGGCGCCGACTTGGCGCCTTTTGTTGTGGTCGGCGCGTCAGGGGCCACAGGAGCTCGAGGCATACCAAGGGCGTGTGCCTCGACACCAGGGGCGTGTGCTTCGGTCGCGCCCAGCAGGACGACGACACCAGTCGGGGCAATTTCCCCGTCGTCTGCCCAGCGCTTGTTCGGATGATCGCCCGCGATTTCGTATGCGTTTCTTCCAGACTCGGGTCGAGCAGGGGCGGTAGTGGTATTAGGCTCTCCGTCGTAATGTGCCATAGTTGTTGCGTTGTGCGCGGAAAGGTCCGAGAGTGGAGTCGATGGGTATTGAAAGCGAAGAAGAGACTTGGTTCTCGCCAGCTCGAGTGTGGGAGACAAAAATTGGCTATACCGTTTGAAAATGTGAGACGTGGGTGGAGAGAAATGACCTCCAGCCCACGTTTTGTACTCCAAAACGGGCGTTTAGCGCGGCTCGACGCTGCCCATTCCTACATTAGAAGCAGCTTTGCTTTCAAAATACAATATACATATCTTACAACTCCGAGAATACAGGATTTCTAGGAAAATAGTATGAAATTTCATACAATCAGACAAAAATGGTATGATAAGTCAGCCCCGTCCGATGCACAATATTGCATGATCCTTTTAATCTTGCTCCCTTCTTTTTTCTAATTGTGTTTTGCGCCTACAACATACGTATCTCCAACTAAGAATAGTTTTATAAGTTGCACCATACAAACTGCGTAGTCCATGCACAGAAGCTGACTCATAATGCGGTACAAGTCTTTGCTGCGATTTAGGGAGTGCGAGTCGGGTATCAGTCACAACAGTCGCTGGGTAGGAGAATGGCTGCCATCACGGAGCTCTCTAGGCTGACGGCCTCACAGCGTGCCGCTGTTTCGCTGGCGATCGGGTCGGAGTCTGTCAATCCAGTCCATCCAACGGCGATATGGCCGTTTGCGGGGCTGTCGATCCGATTAGAGTGTCAGCGGAGCCGAATCGACGGCGAGTATGCAATTTGCACATCGGAGGCGGCTTGCTGTCAACACTGAAATCCCAAGGCGCACGAGAGGCCGACGTGTGCGTCGCTCTATCTGTCTGAGATTTCTTCCTAACACGCGAGGACATTTCACGCGTTAGTGCCCTCGAATCGCGAGAGCACTATGTCGAATCCGCGCCCTGGTCGCCGAGTGCCGTTCGAGCTATATAATCGGCTTGGTGGGGTTGCTATTTGCAAATCAATCGAGCGTCGCATTCACTCATTGAGAGCCGACCTGCTGCGAGTACAGCTCGCGCCTCTCTCCGCCTCAGTCCATCTCGTTCGTTCGCCGCTCCACTCCCAGTGCGCCCTCCATCCCACCGCGCGCCATGCCTCGCCACGCCCTTCTCCCGCCGCGTCTCCGCCTCGCGCTGCTCCTCGCAGCAGTCGCCTCGTGCTTCGGCGCGCTGCTGACTGTAACGGGGGCGCCTCTAGCGGGGCCGGAGTGCGTGAGCGAGTTCCCGCGGCTGTGCAAGTTCGTGGACGATCTGCGCGACTCCATTCCCGAGCAGATCGACGCCTCCTCGCCCGCGCCCATCACCATCGGCGCCTACCAGATCCGCCAGGCCAGCTCCCCCCTCCGCCCTCCGCCTTCCACCCTCCGCTTTTCCGCTCTTACTTCCGTTGCACGCTTCCCCTCACTCGCTTTTTCGCTTTTCCTCCCATTTCTTCAGACCCCAGGCATCTCTCCCCCCTCACTCGCTTCTCCCTTCTCCCTTCGCCCTCTCCCCGCTTCCCCTCTCTTGGCGTTCTCTCCCTTGCTGACGCACCCTCGATCCCCCTCTACCCCTTTTCCCCCCTTCCCCTCTACCAACCCCCCACGGCCTGCAGAAGCTGCACCGCGACCTGCCGCCCACGAAGCTGTACGCGTATGGTCGCACCGCCGCCACCGCGCACTACCCCGGCCCCACGCTCGTCGCCAAGCGCGGCGTACCCACCCAGGTACCGCCGTCCCCCAGCCCACCCGCCGCTGCTGTGGTTGCTGCGGCTTGTGTTTCTGCTGCTCCCGTGCCTCCGCACACTGCCTGGTTGCCATGGCTATTTATGTGTTTCTGCTGTGCAGCACGTTTGCTCAGCAGAATGCATGTGTTGGTTCTGACTGTGCTGGGACTGTGCTGATTGTGACTGGGGCTGTGCGCGGGTGGGCGGGGGGGCATGGCAGGTGTATTTGGGAGAACCACCTGACGGACCGCCACCACATGTTCCCCGTCGACTACACCCTCGACAACGTCCCCCGCCCGCTGCTGGGCGGCATCCCCATAGGTGAGCCGCGCTGCTTCCCCGATGCTCACTCCCCCTGTCGCCCCTTGTCTCATTACGCCTCTGTTCTTCTCTCGCCCCTTCTTTTCAATTCTCACGCACTCCCCCCCACCCCCCTTCCCCTCTCCCCCACGTAGTGACGCACCGGCACGGGGGCGAGCAGCCGACCTTCTCAGACGGGCACCCCGAGGCGTGGTTCACACAGTACAGCGAGGTGGGGCGCGCCTTCCGCACGCGCCTGTACCGCTACCCCAACCACCAGCTGCCCACCACCCTCTGGTACCACGACCACGCCATCGCCATCACGCGCCTCAACGTCGCTGCCGGCCTCGCCGGCTTTTTTATCCTCACCGACCCGCGCGGCGTCGAGAGGACCCTTGGCTGGCTGCCGCAGGGCGAGTTTGAAGTGCCACTGGCCCTGTCGGACCGGAGCTTCTTCCCCAACGGGTCCATTGACTACCCCAGCCAGGGCGTGGTGCCGCGCGTGCACCCCCACTGGGTGCCCGAGTACCTGGGCGACAAAATCCTCGTCACCGGCAAGGTGCTGCCCGCCCTCTGCTCCCACACTTCTTTTGTCTTCTCATCCCTAACTTTCCACTTTTCCTCATTCTCCACTTTTTCCTTTTATTCTGCATGCTCCCCCGCCTCTTCACCCTTTGCCTTACTCCCCACACTTCCCCTATCTCCCCACACTTCCCCTATCTGTACCTGGGCGACAAAATCCTTGTCACCGGCAAGGTGCTGCCGCCCCACCTCTGCTCCTTCTGCCCCGCCTCCATTCTTGCCTCCTGTCGTGCTCTGCTCCTCGCTGTCTGATGCTTCTCCCCGTTCTCTCTCCCTCCAATCCATCTATCTGCCTCACTACCCACTTCCTTCATCTGTCCTGTCCCCCATGCCCCCTCCCTCTCCCTTGACCTACATCATCCTCTTCCTCACGCCGCACGCCCTCTGCCTCTTGCCGCATGCCCCGGCCTGCCCCGAACCCACGGCAGGTGTGGCCGTACCTGAAGGTGAGGAGGGCGCTGTACTGCTTCCGAGTGTTGGGGGCGGCCAACACGCGCTTCTTCAATCTGCGCTTCATCTGCGCCACCCCCCGCAACTACCCCGACTTCACTCCGCCCTTCACTGGGGACAAGCTGCCCATCATTGTGGTGCGTGCACTTGTGGTTGCCCTGGTACCCGCCTGCAGCTCCAATCTGCACCACTCTGCATAACTCTGCACTGCTCTGCACCAGTCTGCACCTCTCTGCACCCCTCTGCACCCTCTGCACTGCACCACCCTTTTGCATCACTTCGCACCACTCTGCACCACCCCTCTGCACACATCCCTGTGAACCCTTCTGCACCACTTCGCACCACTCTGCACCGCTTCGCACCACTCTGCACCACTTCGCACCACTTCGCACCATGTACTACTAACTACTCCGCACCGCTGTACTGCTGACCCCCCGCACCTTACCAATCCTTGTTGCTCCTGCCCTCCTGCCATCCTTTTTGCTCCCCTTCCCACCCCCCCTCTCCCCCACCACTGGTCAGATCGGGTCGGACGGCGGGTACCTCCCTCGCCCAGCGGTGCGCACGTCGCTGCTGGTGGCGCCGGGCGAGCGGTACGACATCCTCATCAACTTCTCCAACCTGCGATCCTCCTGTGCTGACGTCATCCTCACCAACGACGCCCGCGCGCCCTTCCCTGCGGGCGAGCCGGTCACCAACGACACGGCCGTTGTCATGCGCTTCATTGTGGACCATCACAGCCCCCGCGTGCCCGCCCCGCGCATTCCTAAGAGCCTTGTGGTGAGTGAGTGCTTGGGTTTGGATTGGGTAGACACTCTCCTTCCCTGCGGGCGAGCTTGTCACCAACGACACGGCCCTCGTCATGCGCTTCATTGTGGACCATGAGAGCCCCCGCGTGCCCGCCCCGACCATCCCCAGGAGCCTCGTGGTCAGTGCTTGGGTGCTACGTCGTTGCACCCTTCCTTCTCATGTACCCTGCATCGCATTCGCTCACCGTCTCCCCTTCACCCGCTCTCCGTTGCACCGTTGACACATCCAGGGTGGTGCTGGAGCAGCGGATCACAGCAGTGGAAGAGACCGACCCCGCCACCAGGCTGTCTTTTTTTAATCTGACACAAAAATCATTCCCCCCTCTCTGTGCGCCCTCCAGACGGTGGTGCCCCCCATAGACACGTCCCGCGTGGTGCTGGAGCGGTGGATCACAGCAGTGGAAGAGACCGACCCCGCCACTGGGCAGCCCATCCGCCTCCTGCTGGGCGGCCTGCCGTACAGCGCCCCGCCCACTGAGACGCCCAGAGAGGTGAGCCGTGGGTTCAAGCCTGGTCACAGCCCAATGTGCTGCCGACGTCGCACCATTCAGCACAAGTTCTGATTCTGATTCTCCCCCATGCGCCCTGACTGGCTCCCGTGTGTCTCGCTGGTGGCAGAACTCGGAGGAGCTGTGGCATCTGATCAACACGACGCCCGATGCGCACCCCATCCACCTGCACCTCATTCAGCACCGCCCCCTGTGGCGCCGCCCCTTCGACCTCGCCGCCTACAGCAGCGGCGCCTGCTCCTTCACCAACTCCTCGCTGCCCTCCTGCTTCACTGGCGCACAGCAGCAAGTGGCCGCGTATGAGCGCGGGTGGAAGGACACCACCATCCTGCCGCCCGGCACCGTGCTCACCCTCTGGACGCCCTGGTACTCGCAGGTCAGTCCCGCCGTGCCGTGCCTTGTTTCTCTTTGGGAAGCTTGTGTTGCTGTGTACTGACGTTGTTGTTGTGCACTGACCAAGCAACTGTCCTGTGTGTGACCCCATGCAGGACGGCACTCCCTTCCCGTTTGACCCGACGCGCGGCCCGGGGTATGTGTGGCACTGCCACATTCTGGAGCACGAGGACAATTCCATGATGCGCCCTCTCATCATCACCAAGTGAAACTGTCTTCCAATGGTGCCTGAAGATGCCATGCCAGGGTTAATTAATGCTTTTCAGTCCGGCATTAATTTGCAATAAGGCCTTCAGTTGGCAGTTGGGAGGGTGAATCTTGTACATACTGAAATAACTGCATACTGAACGCCCTGTGGTGCTATAGATGGACGTGTGTATGGCATCCAGCTATAATAGATATTAACAACAAAGCCCCCTCCCTGGTACTTCCCCAGCCTGGGAAAATCAGAATAAAATATCATACAGTAATGTCCTGGATATTGTAAGCTACTACCGTAGCGGGAGCTATAGCAGTCTTAGAACCTCCTCCTAGAGCCTAGAAATCTTAGGAGCCAACTTGAGCGTCAACCATGCTAGAACCACGAGAGTTTCCAAGAAGTGTGTTCCTATAGGGTTTGGGAGGTGGTCGTCCACTCCAAAGAGTGTACACCACAAGTTCTCCCAACCCAACCAATGTATTCGATGTCAAACATTATATGTTCATATTGTACTAGGCTGTGCTACAAATAGTAATTGTTGAAACATCACTGTGCACTCCTCACCGCAGCAATCGAAGCACGCACTACCGAGAAAGGAGACGAAAGGGGGGAAGTGACACGAAGGGTCGCACGGTTACGAAGGCATCTGGACCGTCGGGCAGACAGCAATCAGGCAGCAGCAGTGGCGAGGATTTTGCCCGGACAGTTTCGTAACTGTCTAGAGTCGCACGGTTGGATTTCGCTGTCATAAGGGAATGTACCCCTTAGAGTACATGGCTAGCTAGGTCGATTGTGTCAAATTGTAATCCTATCTCTAGGCTGTAGTAGGGTCACTCATATTGAGTACAACACTTTAGGGTTAGGTTTCCCCTACTTGTACCCCCCTTCCTGCCTAAGTCCATCATTCATTCCTAGTTCAGTTCTTGACATGTTATCAGAGTAGGAACCGTTCCTACGTGGGCCCACCGTTCCGTCTAGTGGTAGCGCCACGCCCTACACCGTAGCCAGCGCGCTGGCGCCCCCGCTCTCACTGTCGCGACCCCTCCTAAACGGCCCGCGCGGCCCTACGTTTTCTCACTGTCGCGACCCCTCCTGACCGCGCCCTAGCTGCCCCGTGCGCCACTTGCGCGGCCCGTCAGCTCCTGCGCCCGGTCCCCCCTCGCTCCTGCTGCTGCGCGCGCCACTCGCGCTGCCCGCCAGCCCCTAGCGCGCACCTGCTGCGCGCCCCTCTTGCGCTGCCCCGCGCGCACCTGCTGCGTGCCCCTGGCGTGCACGCCCACAGCCCGCGCGCGCCTACTGCTGCTGCGCGCCGAGCCGCGCCGCCCAGTTCGACCCGCGCCGCCCTGCCCGAGCCGCGCCGCCCAGCCCGAGCTGTACCTGCT